TTTTCATTTGGCCATATTTATGTCATATTTTACATAATATAACAGATAATTGAATAACAAATCACAATCCAAGACCAAACCAGTCATAAATATCCTGGAATAAACTTTAAACTACTCCGTTCGAGACAACCATGAGTAAATATAAGCAGCGGCCATGTTTTAAAAACAATAAATTGTCTATTCGCATGTCTTTTGTGTTGATTTTGTGGTTTAATATGATTGTTTTGTATTGCTTTAATATATGCCGGGGGTCGTCCATAAATGACGTCACACTCGTAGGGGGGAGGGGGGGTCCGTAATTTTGTGACGTTGTGTGATGAGGGGGAGGAGGGGGTTCAAATGGTGCGACGTCACACTTTTGCATTTTAAAAAAGCAATGTTAGAAAACGAATTTTAGACGTTATTTTGCGTTTTAAAAAACTGTTTTAATACATTGTAATAACAATTGATTAAAATACTCTATTTTAACACATTTTTCTTAACTCAGCTTCGCGTTTGTTTGTTTGGTTGTTTGGATGTTTGTTGTTAAAATTGACATCGAAAATTAGCCCACTTCTGATTGCTCTAGAGACCTGAAATTTGGCATGCATGCTACTTTCGCCTAACAATTTCAGATGCAATCATAAAAACTAGCAATTTGTGACCGTAATTAGCTTAATTTAATTACGCCCCAAGGACCATAAAATTGAGGACATGATTTCTAAAGATACCGACAAGACTGGAGGCCTATAGACACAGTTACTTCGGCCCCAATCGATGTGAGCGCGCTGGCCGTGATCGTATAGTGGTTAGTACTTCGCGTTGTGGCCGCGACAACCCAGGTTCGAATCCTGGTCGCTCAAGATTTTTAGTCCGTGTAATTATAAACACTTTTTTAAAAACCACGTTTTTCATGTGTAGCAACGGACTAAAAAGGAGAAAATAAAATACTTAAAAAAAACTTTTTAAAAAACCACGTTTTTCTTGTGGACTAAAAAGTAAAAAATAATTTTTTCTTGTTGTGATGACTGACAAAAAACGTGGGTCGGGCAGATGGGTCGGGAAATTTGATGGTGAACGTACCCACGTTTTTTGTCAGTCATCACAAGAACCTGCACAGCTCGAGGAAGCACACAAGAAAAAATTATTTTTTACTTTTTAGTCCACAAGAAAAACGTGGTTTTTTAAAAAGTTTTTTTTAAGTATTTTATTGACAGAGTTCAGACAAGATTTTGGAAAATATAGCTGTTTAAAAAAAACTCAACTGCAATTTTGAGGGGGGTTGTAGGCTGAGGTGTGACGTCATTTTAGGGGGGGGGGGGGTCGTCTGGCTTTTTGTCACGACGTGTGACGGAGGGGAGGTAAAAATCGTCAAAAAAAGCGTGACATCATTTATGGATGACCCCCTGTATAGTAATTTTTCTTTTTTTTAATATAGTTGACATGAATGACTAATAGACCTTATCAAACTTAATAGTGTGCATCCATGACTACAATAATTGTTGGGAGGTCGAACTTTTGAACACTTTATTTGCAGTAAGCAAATCAATATTAGATCGCTCATAAATGACGTCGCTCTTAAGATAGTAATGACAGCGTGCATTATTACAGAGCAAACATATGAACATATTGTTTCAGATAGAAATTGTGATTTGTGGTGGGGAGAGGTTGAATAGAACTCAGCGATGTGATTTTGGAGACGGGTCAGGTTTTTTTTTTTCGTGAAAACGGGATGGTTGTGGGAGAAAGACCAGCTGTAGAAGTATGACGCGTCATTCATTGGTCATCCATTTTCTCAGTGGGGACGAAAGAACTATTAAGAAGGGTCAAGAAATGTAAAAAGCTTGCCGAGTCGCATTTCTTGAACCCCACCTTTTTCATTCCCCCACTTAGCACATCGTCACCGAGTTAACGCTCGCAAGTGACGTCATGTAGCGGTACCGCCGACCGTTAGGCTAATTTTATAGAAAAAAAAAACAACAAGCACTGCCTTTTTGACGCTTTTGCATGAGTTAATGATAGTTATAGTAGCCTAGTTTGAATATCAATTTTCAACTAATTCCTGAGGTGGCTAAACATAAGTAGTATATCTTTATTGATACCTTTTTCTTTTTTTTTAAATGATATATACATGACTTTTGGACCAATTTGAAGGCCTATTGTATTTAATGACAAACTCCTTACATTAAAATATTAAAAGTAAACTATTAGACCTATATTTTTAATGAATGGTAATAGTTAGATAGCCCATACAATCCAATACATAAATACACATCATTGCTTTATGATCTTTATAAGACGGACACATATTTTTATTTATAACATTAAGAGTTGAAAGTATGTAAACATAATGAGTTTAATATAACAGTTTATGAAATTTATTTATGTTTTTTTTAGATACTGTGGATTATACAACTGCATACAGAGAAGACAATAGTCAAGATGAAGCTCAATTTAAAAACTGATCCAAGGATACATGTTGGACCCAAGAAAACTTGTTCATATTGAACAACTATTTTTTATTATGTTAGTTCTGAATGAATATGGTAATTAAAAAAAGAAAATCATAATCTTTGTTATGTTTATTTTTTTTTCAGCACTGGTTGTGTGTGCTGGTGTAAGCAGAAACTAATTATTGCTACCTTTATTCAACAAATAACTTAAACTGGCGAACTATAAAGAGTTTTTAAGAATATGGGGCTGAAGTAGATTTCACCTAGTTTTGTTGCCTCTCCATATTAATACATTTTATGGTCAGCAAAATGTCAAACAGCTTTTACTAAGTTTTACTGTCTATAACCAGTCAGGTACCAGTTAAGGTTAAAGCTGCTTTGAATTTGAATCAGAGACAACCTAAAGGATTAAAATTTCAACTCAAGAACTTTTGCTTTAGCAAATGTGTTCACAAATATGTAGTCCCACTCTAAGCCTTACATTTGCATATATATATCATAGATGTAAAACTGAATGATAAGGGAAGAATCAAGAATATGGGTTTTTGTCAATTCTAGCCATACCAGCATATAAATGTAGACCAGGCTTAGTGAAGCACAGGGGCGTAGCGGGGGGTGCGGACCGCACCGGGTGACACCATTTAGGGGGTGACACCAAGGCAAAAAAATAGCAAAATATATAGAGAAAAACTTAAGGGGGGGGTGTGCAAATCGAACAGTTTGAGGGGGGGGGGTGCAAATCGAAAACTTGAAAGTTTGTCCCCGGGAAGGGTCGCAACGCCTCTGGGGGGTGAACCCATTAAGTGCCGCACAGGGTGACACCCGACCTCGCTACGCCACTGGTGAAGCATGGCTGATAACTAACCATCAACCACAAATACAGCAAACTATAATCACTGCCTGTTTCCTGGTAATGTGTTGTTATTGGCCATGCAAGTTTATGAACATGTTATACATTACAAAAGAAAAAGACTTGCTGATCAGATGCATTCCAGATATTTGAGGAAAAGATGTTTTCTATAAGGATAGGCAGCTATAGCTAATGAGCTTAGGGGAAATGTTGAGTTAAGATAAACTATTTAATAATTGTAATGACAGAGATACTATCACAGCAACAAATGTATTGGGTTTGTATGACTAATTAATGAATATCCTATAAATAATAGCAAAATGCTGTAGTGGTCGTCCATCAGACTTCGAGGTGGTGGGGGAGATTTGGACCTTTGTGTCAAGGGCGGGAGGGGGTTCAGAAAGTAAGATGACACTTTTCAATGTTCAACAAACACTCATGTTAAGAAACTGAATCTAAGCCTTTATTTGCATTATTAAAAGTTGTTTTATAAATTGTTATAAAATAATTAATCAATAGGCCTACATTGAATGTTGGAAAAGCCCATAGGTCTAAATATTTTATGAAAATCGCTGCAATAGCGGGGGTGGGGGGAGGGGGCTTAGGTTTATTTTTTTGGGGAAGGGGGGTTGTCTGGCATCGTTGTGACATCGTTAATAGATGACCCCATAGTCAGAGGTCGATCTAGATTGATTAGGCCTATATTAAACTGTTGATATTAATTACGCTTTACTTATTATTACAATGGAATATAGCCTAGTAGTTTATTTATATTAAATAATATAACATCCTCTTTCACCACAACACCCTGACTATACTAATCCAAATTAAAATGTTTTGTAAATTACTATTATATTATTAGTAATTTTGTGTTTAAATATTTTTAGCTTTAGTAAAACCTGAAGTGACTTTGTACTTATTTCACAAATATTTTAAAATATTCAATTTTGGTTCAAAAATATGCTTTCTGGCAACACAAAGTTGAACCACTTTTCCAGTCTAATTTGAGATTTTGGGGGAAAAAAACCGACGTAGCATACGCCGCTACTTAGTTTAATTCCTATATTTAGTAATTTATAATTTGTGCATTCGACACTACCAATGCTGCGACTGCAAAAATTTTGCCTCAAAACACAATCATTCCCCCCCCCCTCCCCCCCCCCCCCCCCCCCCCCCCCCGCGAAAGCAGCCGTCTGTGACGAGTTTTCAGACGACAATGCAGAACATGTTATTACCTCCCCTTAATTTCAAATCGTTTAAAAACTTAATTATTATTGTGTTGAGCCAAATGGAAATACCATCTTACATTTTTAAAAAAGATTAACTTGGATGACTTGATAAAAGATGCAGAGTAATTATCTAGGGATAAGACGGTATGCGGTTGAGGGGGTTAATGTCCTAGACCCCATTCGCCTTTATACTAGCAAGGCCAGGAACGGTGCCACATTTTGACTGAGGAAAACTCAGCTTTAGATTTCTATACAATGGAAAAATAGCTTGTTGGAATATGGCCTGTTGACTCCGATTTCAGCATACTTTTCTTTCTGGATTTGCTTCCAGAACAAACTACAGGGTAGTAGTCGTTTACTTTGGAGTGTTCTCTCCTAGATGGTTTGCTTTCCTCAGCTATCAAACCTCATCTGTCGGGAAGGGCTTCAAATTCGAGCACTTTCTGTTAATAAGCTTTTTTGATAATTTAAAAACGCTACATTGGGTAAAAAGAAAGTGAATTTTTATTATTCATTTTTTTTTTAAATGTATAAAATCATTACATAAATAATTGAAACTACTTTCAGTACAACTGGATATACAATGTGATTTCACCATTAACACATTTCACATATTATACATTGTGCAATATACAAAAATTATAACCCATAAGTTGTAAAATTATAACTATTGCATTTTGTAACTGGTAGAGAGCACTTGAGATTCAGATGACCTTAAGCTAAAACTGTTTTCTTTTTCTAATAAATACTGCAGGGTGTGAAGATGTTTGATTGGACATGAAAATAAATTCTTCATAGTTAAATCATTCTGTTTTTCATATACTGCATATGATTTAAAAATGGGTAGATCTATTGTTGCAAGCTGATTACCTACCAGTGTAGCAGAAACAGATGATAAAGGTGAATGTAGCTGTGTTGACACAAGCTGATTGGCTTTTTTTGTCACACGAATAAGACTTTCTTGATTGTTTGCCAGAATCAGAGGGCAGGCAGATATGTGTGATTTTGTGAAACCTAATGACAATAAATATTCTAAATTTTTTGATACATCGGGTAATTCAATTGAGCTGACGTCAATAGAGCACTCAAACATCGTAGTAACTACATCACCATCTAACTTCAACAGGTGACGTATAAAATAAAATAAGTCTTTCCGTCGCCTTTTGGAACTCATAATCACTTTTGCTTTCTTTTTGCCGCCTTTGCTATTGGGTGAACTTACTGTTCGGGAAAAAAAAACATGTTATCTTTTTACTATCACACTGACATCAATGCAACAATTTTTTAACCAGGTTATTTGGCATTTGCCATCGTTTATTTTGCTTATTCTTTTAATTTATTAATCAAATGTAAAATTTAAAGTATTGAACAAGAAAATGTTGTGATACTTGTATACTTCTAATTTTATAATTCAAGTATCTTTAATAATTAACAATACTAAGAATTTTACTATTTGAGTTTTAATATTACATTAGCAACTCAAAAAAACTATATAGTTACCATTTTCGTTTCCTGTTTCTTCACAAATGGACTCATTATCGCAATAGATTTTTCTATTTTCCTTACTACAATTTTGTTCCATTGTATGTTTAATGTCAGACATTACAGTAACAGAAGCCGGAAGACCAGTTGATCGAAAACATGAAGAGACATCATAGCATTTTTGCATTGGTAATCTAACAGCCATAAAATAGAAAGTATATAGAAGTCTAATGAGAATTTAAAAATTTTAAATTAAAATGTTACGTTTTATCCAGACATTGGAATGACAAAGTTGTTTATGCAGCTCTAAATATTTTCTCAGTATTATTTTCCATGTTTTAATACAGTTTTGATAAATGATAGCCTTTGTTAACAAAATTTTATGAACTACAATTTCGCTATATATAATGGCATACATTATCAAACTTAAATAGATAAATGACAAACCTGTTAAGAATTCGAAGGTTATTGAAAATTTCTTGCTGTGAAATACCAGCAGTAAGACACATTCTGATTTTATATTTTAAATCATTGATTTTAAATTCGCAGTGACCAAAGCATTCCTGTAAAAAAATTGAATTAAAAAATGCAATGTGCAAAGTACATTTTTTTGTCATAATCATTATATTATCTGGATCTTCAAATAGTAAGGGTTTTTGGTCCATGTAAGGGCCCTTTACACTTTATCAAACACATAAGTTCATTTAACTTGCATAAAAAATGAATTAATTTAAACAGCAGTGCTCTTAATAATTAATTTTCAATGTCTCATTTATTATCTGATTAGAAGAAAAAATAGATTTATTGCACTGTCTTTGGGAAAGCACTTATTTAAAAAGTGAGGGGAAAATGTGCTTTATTATAAATGGATCTAAATTAAGGTACAAAAACAAATAGTTTATAATGAAAGAAAATACTTTCTAGCTTTGCCTTCCATACAGAAAATAGGTTCAACACTCTGTACCAATTTTTACAAGCTATTACTTCATTCACAATGTTTGTTGGATGTGACAAATCTGGTAATTTTGACTCACTTCTAATGCAACAGTTTCATTCAATTTTTTCAGAAACATTTGTCAATTAAAGTTTACTATACTCAAAAACAACAAAAAAATCTATTCCTACAGCATTGATTATTATATGTTAAGGCTCATAATTAAAATTAATTTTAACATTAAGATTAATGTTAAGATTATTTATATTATTTGATGAACAGACGGCACATAGTTTTATAGTTGTTTTTAGTTTTATTTCTATGATCTGTCAAAATCAATATTTTTTCTGTTTTGCTTTTCGATGTTATTTAAACAATTGATTAAATGAGAGAATGTGGGAAAGGCTCTCTCTGGGAGCAGACGCCTGGGAAAGCAAACTTTGATAAAGTGTTTGTATTGTGTTTACATTTTTGTGTTTGTGTTTGCATGTTGCGTTTGGGTTTGTGTTTGCATTTGAGTCTGCACTTGTTTGAGTGTTTGTATTCTTTTATGTTTGTAGTTGTGTTTGCATTTTTTGTTTGAGTTTGTGTTTGTTTCCTTGCTTTTGTATTTCACATTTTGAGGAGGATTTTTATTTATTACAAAAATGTTTCCTTGTTTCATTTATGTACCTGTTTTTAAACAATTAAATTAAAACTTTTCAGTGATAAATGAAGACTAGCGATGTTTCCAACATATGCAACCATGCTCATTTACTATAGCAGCCATCTTGTTTAAGTTTTTATTTGTAAACTTAAAGCGCGAGATTCAGGGGAAGTCACTCTATATTACAAATGGCTGCCTTTTATATAGCAAACACTGCTGTTTAAAGTTAATTTCAGGCCTATATTGATATATTTAGCCATTGATTTAGGTTTATTATTCATTTATCTATAATATTTGACACAAATATATCAAAATATACTTCTTTTATAGCCTTAACAATGAGGTAACTTTTTCGTACAATACTAGCCATGGGCGATTTTACGTATATATATATATATATATATATATATATATATATATATATATATACACATATAGGGTAAAGAAGGGTAAAGAAGGGTACTTAACTAAGAGCCACACTTTTTAGCACCTGTACATTTTTAAAGATTTTTACTAATCTAAGTATTTTCTTATATTGAAATTAATGCAAAAACACATCTTATACAATATAAAAATAATAATTATATTTATGTACAGTCGAAATAAAAGCTGCTAGGCTTTTGTGTATAGTTTAATTTAATGAAGTTATTAATTATTAAGAAATAACATTAATAATATTAATAATGGCGATTTCACATTTTTGCGCCCCTCTATGGATGGCGCCCTAGACGACCGCCTAGTTCGCCTTATAGGTAGCGCCGGCCCCGAGTAAGTAACAAGTGGTTCTTCATATAACGACTAGACTCTGATGTCTATATTTGTGCAACGAAGCTGTGTTGTTAAGGAATAGCAGGTGGTGTCAGATGCGTAGCAACCCATTTTGGCGCCCAAGGAAGACTATCAATTTTGCCCCTATTCCCATATATAGCTATTCCTGTCTGTGAAAAAGCGCCCTTCTCCCCATTTTGAAACAATGTACTTGCCTGGTAGACTGCTAAATCTACTCCTAATAGTGTGGCTATTTCTTCTGTTACTATGTTAAGCCCAAGCTTAGCTTTAAAAGAATTTAGATTTGGTGTTAAGAACAAGCTGACAGGAAATGGTCCAGCAGAGTAGTTCCTGGTACTTTTGTACACATTTATCTATGCAAAAAAAAAAAAAATAAATAAATGTTGATGTTATATCAAATTTATAAAAACATTTTTTTTGCATTTTAATTTAACTTTTAAGTAATATAATACAAACCTTGCTGTCGAAGAATTCATGACCTTGTAAAATTCCAAGGTTGGACAAGATATCATGAGCTGTTGCTCCAATGGACTGCAGTTTCTGTACCTATTACATTGAAATAATGTATTAAATACAGGTACATAAAACTGTAGGTTATTAAATATTTAAATGAAAGGAATATATGGTATAAGACGTTTGTCTTTGAGGGTAATCCAAGCATAAGATCTCATACTTATTTACAAAATTTCAACTACGTAACTAAAACTCGCTTGTGTCCATTGGACACAAGCGAGAAAAGTCTCAAAGGTATTTGAGAGGTGCATAAATTAATTTAAAAATCTTGCACAGCGTAGTTACAATTAATATGGTTATAAAATCCTGTCTGTCTGGTTTTTTTCGGACTTAACTAAAGATTGGACGTATTTGATGTTTTTAATATTTTCGGTAACTAAATAAAAATTAAAAAAAAAAGCAAAAACAATTTGGTTTTCACGTGTAATGGCGACATAAACAATAGCATCCTGCTATTGGATAGGCCGACATAAATTTTATTGTACACATTGTAAGCTAAAAATAGAAAACTAGGTCATGGGGTTTTAAATTTGCATTGTTATTTAAAAACTTGATCTGCAAAGTTTTGTAAACAAATAGTTATCGATCACTAAGTTACTGTACAGCCAATCAATATTTGTCTTACGAAAGTGAAACATCCGGTTATAACTTAGGCTTGATGAAAATAAATAGAAATGTAGCCTTAAACTCAACAAATTATTTTCAAGTTCTCTGGATTTGCAACTTTTATAGCATTTATTCTAAAAATATAAAATTTCTAAATTAATTTTAGGCTTAAGTTTTTATTTTTTATTTTTTTTTACGGTCTAAATCTAAAAAGCACGTTTTTATTCCATGTCAACAACACTATGGAAGGAATCTCGTCAACTCGCTTGTCTCCATTAGAATTAGAAGTTCTACTTTTGGTGACTGGAAATTTGTCAAAAGTTGTCAGAAACTTGTGCATACAATCTGATATTTATATTTGAAATAGTGTCCACCTAATGCAAACAGTACCCAAATTATAGGCTTTTAAACGTAGAGTAAGAACCAATTAAGATAATTAGAAATCCCAAACTTAAAAACTACAAATGTGATATATTTATATATGAAAATTCATCAACCTAACCGCAACTGTACTCAAGTTATCTTGTTTACACACACACATGGACTGAATTACAAATAAAGTTTTTCAGGTCGTAAAATTGTAAAAATGGCTTTACATTTTTTAGCGCAATTTCCATTCTGGAGAATTGCATTTATTAACCCGTCATTTCTGGATGGATGAATGTGTGTCCGCAGCTTTAAGTCGTATCTCCTCCTCAACGAAGCAATATCGAGGACTAGTTCCAAAAGCAATTATGTTAAGCAAGTTACGAGGATGAACATAGGCCATAAAAATTCCGGGTTTCTTTCATGGATTTCCCGGAAAAGCCAAAAAACCTCGAAAAAAATGCAGTTTTTGTCCCATATCTCGGCAACCAGACCACTTAGCGACTTGAAACATGTACCAATCGATACCTGCCATAATTTAGAACAATATTGCCGAAGAAAGTTTTCAAAAATATCCTTTCGTTCGGTCACAAAAAAAATTTTGAATTAATTAAAATTTGGACAGAATTAGTAGGCATTTTTATCCAACCACACCACACGCGCCATCACGTTCAATAGCTGTGCCATCACGTTCAATGGCTGTGTCATCACGTTCAGTAGCTAGGCGCGCAATGGTTTTTAGTCATGTAACTCTATTGTAAATAAAACATGTATTTTAACCAATGGTTTTACTAACCCTGCTCTTGATTTACACTACGACAGAGCTATTTTTAGATAACATAAGGAAATTGCGCTTAAATGTCACTAGACTTTTTAATTAACTTGTTTTAACAATTACACTCAAAAGAACTAGTTTGTCCCTTATTTTAATATGGATAAAGTTCTTAGTATTCATGGGATTTAAAACGATTGATATATTTATGCTAAACAGAAATATTTAGAAGGCTGTGTTATCAGTTAAGCATTTAAAAAGAGTGGAGCAAACGGAACTAGGATTTCTGAATGTAAATCTAAGATCAAGGTTAAAAATCTATTTGGATTTCAGCACCAATTGTCCATGTCCTACCACAGTAGACTGTCCATGTCCTACCACAGCACAGTAGACTGTCCTACCACAGTAGACTGTCCATGTCTTACCACAGTAGACTGTCCTACCACAGTAGACTGTCTATGTCCTACCACAGTAGACTGTCCATGCCTACCACAGTAGACTGTCCATGTTCTACCACAGTAGACTGTCTATGTCCTACCACAGTAGACTGTCCAAGTCCTACCACAGTAGACTGTCCAAGTCTTACCACAGTAGACTGTCCTACCACAGTAGACTGTCCATGTCCTACCACAGTAGACTGTCCTACCACAGTAGACTGTCCAAGTCCTACCACAGTAGACTGTCCATGTCTTACCACAGTAGACTGTCCATGTCCTACCACAGTAGACTGTCCTACCACAGTAGACTGTCCTACCACAGTAGACTGTCCTACCACAGTAGACTGTCCATGTCCTACCACAGTAGACTGTCCATGCCTACCACAGTAGACTGTCCATGTCCTACCACAGTAGACTGTCCAAGTCCTACCACAGTAGACTGTCATTGTCCTAACACAGTAGACTGTCCTACCACAGTAGACTGTCCATGTCCTACCACAGTAGACTGTCCTACCACAGTAGACTGTCCATGTCCTACCACAGTAGACTGTCCATGTCCTACCACAGTAGACTGTCATTGTCCTAACACAGTAGACTGTCCTACCACAGTAGATTGTCCATGTCCTACCACAGTTGACTGTCCATGTCCTACCACAGTAGACTGTCCATGTCCTACCACAGTAGACTGTCCATGTCCTACCACAGTAGACTGTCCTACCACAGTAGATTGTCCATGTCCTACCACAGTAGACTGTCCTACCACAGTTGACTGTCCATGTCCTACCACAGTAGACTGTCCATGTCCTACCACAGTAGACTGTCCATGTCCTACCACAGTAGACTGTCCATGTCCTACCACAGTAGACTGTCCATGTCCTACCACAGTAGACTGTCCATGTCCTACCACAGTAGACTGTCCTACCACAGTAGACTGTCCATGTCCTACCACAGTAGACTGTCCATGTCCTACCACAGTTGACTGTCCATGTCCTACCACAGTAGACTGTCCATGTCCTACCACAGTAGACTGTCCATGTCCTACCACAGTAGACTGCCCATGTCCTACCACAGTTGACTGTCCATGTCCTACCACAGTAGACTGTCCTACCACAGTAGACTGTCCTACCACAGTAGACTGTCCATGTCCTACCACAGTAGACTGTCCATGTCCTACCACAGTAGACTGTCATTGTCCTAACACAGTAGACTGTCCTACCACAGTAGATTGTCCATGTCCTACCACAGTTGACTGTCCATGTCCTTCCACAGTAGACTGTCCATGTCCTACCACAGTAGACTGTCCATGTCCTACCACAGTAGACTGTCCTACCACAGTAGACTGTCCATGTCCTACCACAGTAGACTGTCCTACCACAGTAGATTGTCCATGTCCTACCACAGTAGACTGTCCTACCACAGTTGACTGTCCATGTCCTACCACAGTAGACTGTCCATGTCCTACCACAGTAGACTGTCCATGTCCTACCACAGTAGACTGTCCATGTCCTACCACAGTAGACTGTCCATGTCCTACCACAGTAGACTGTCCATGTCCTACCACAGTAGACTGTCCTACCACAGTAGACTGTCCATGTCCTACCACAGTAGACTGTCCATGTCCTACCACAGTAGACTGTCCATGTCCTACCACAGTAGACTGTCCATGTCCTACCACAGTAGACTGTCCATGTCCTACCACAGTAGACTGCCCATGTCCTACCACAGTTGACTGTCCATGTCCTACCACAGTAGACTGTCCATGTCCTACCACAGTAGACTGTCCTACCACAGTAGACTGTCCATGTCCTACCACAGTAGACTGTCCTACCACAGTAGACTGTCCATGTCCTACCACAATAGACTGTCCATGTCCTACCACAGTAGACTGTCCATGTCCTACCACAGTAGACTGTCCTACCACAGTAGACTGTCCATGTCCTACCACAGTAGACTGTCCATGTCCTACCACAGTAGACTGCCCATGTCCTACCACAGTTGACTGTCCATGTCCTACCACAGTAGACTGTCCATGTCCTACCACAGTAGACTGTCCTACCACAGTAGACTGTCCATGTCCTACCACAGTAGACTGTCCTACCACAGTAGACTGTCCATGTCCTACCACAGTAGACTGTCCATGTCCTACCACAGTAGACTGCCCATGTCCTACCACAGTAGACTGTCCATGTCCTACCACAGTAGACTGTCCATGTTCTACCACAGTAGACTGTCCTACCACAGTAGACTGTCCTACCACAGTAGACTGTCCTACCACAGTAGACTGTCCATGTCCTACCACAGTAGATTGTCCATGTCTTACCACAGTAAACTGTCCATGTCCTACCACAGTAGACTGTCCATGTCCTACCACAGTAGACTGTCCAACCACAGTAGACTGTCCATGTCCTACCACAGTAGATTGTCCATGTCTTACCACAGTAAACTGTCCATGTCCTACCACAGTAGACTGTCCATGTCCTACCACAGTAGACTGTCCATGTCCTACCACAGTAGACTGTCCAAGTCCTACCACAGTAGACTGTCCATGTCCTACCACAGTAGACTGTCCATGTCCTACCACAGTAGACTGTCCATGTCCTACCACAGTAGACTGTCCTACCACAGTAGACTGTCCATGTCCTACCACAGTAGACTGTCCAAGTCCTACCACAGTAGACTGTCCATGTCCTACCACAGTAGACTGTCCATGTCCTACCACAGTAGACTGTCCTACCACAGTAGACTGTCCATGTCCTACCACAGTAGACTGTCCTACCACAGTAGACTGTCCATGTCCTACCACAGTAGACTGTCCAAGTCCTACCACAGTAGACTGTCCAAGTCCTACCACAGTAGACTGTCCATGTCCTACCACAGTAGACTGTCCTACCACAGTAGACTGTCCAAGTCCTACCACAGTAGACTGTCCATGTCCTACCACAGTAGACTGTCCATGTCCTACCACAGTAGACTGTCCAAGTCCTACCACAGTAGACTGTCCATGTCCTACCACAGTAGACTGTCCATGTCCTACCACAGTAGACTGTCCATGTCCTACCATAGTAGACTGTCCAAGTCCTACCATAGTAGACTGTCCAAGTCCTACCACAGTAGACTGTCCATGTCTAACCACAGTAGACTGTCCATGTCCTACCACAGTAGACTGTCCTACCACAGTAGACTGTCCTACCACAGTAGACTGTCCTACCACAGTAGACTGTCCATGTCTAACCACAGTAGACTGTCCTACCACAGTAGATTGTCCATGTCCTACCACAGTAGACTGTGCATGTCTAACCACAGTAGACTGTCCATGTTCTACCACAGTAGACTGTGCATGTCCATGTAAAAGACAAACTAATTCACATATAGGAAACGTGAGATTAATAAAGATGGGGGAGTAGACGAGGACATCAAAAGCAGTATCAACAAGGCAAGTTGTGCCTTTACCTTACAACCCCCAATGTGGAAATGCACACCCTGTCATTCCAGAGCAAAATAACAATCTTTGGTGCTTAATGGGTCAGAGACCTGGAGTGGTCACTGTTACCAGGTCAAATACTGAAAGACTACAGTTGTTGATAAACATGTTTAAGTCAAATCCTTAAAATAAGATTGCCAGACAATATGTCAAATGAAAACCTGTGGCAAACCTTAAAGCAACAGCCAATTAACAGGGACATTAAAGCCGCAAATGGGGATGGATCAGGCATGCCGCAAATGGGGATGGATCAGGCATGCCCCTGAGAAGAAAAGAGCAAAATATTGCTAGGCAAGCATTAGATAGGAAGCCACAGGAGAAAAAAAAGTAGACCAATAAATGATCATTAAAATACATTGAAAAGATTTATTAGCAATTGACACTTTTACTATAATTACACATCTGGGAGAGAAAGTTCCAAAATCAATCAATGAATACCTTGATGTTTGTTCTTGGATGGACAAAGGCTATGAAAGCAAATCCAGAACAAAAAGCAGGCTGGAATCTGAGTCACCAGCCTATATTAGTATATGGTGTATAACAAAGTTGACACCTAATAATTAAATGTGTTTGAGTAAAATCCTTTCCAACATTATAATTACAAATGAAGAAGAAATTATGTTACAACAATACTGAAGTGATAAAAACAACTTGTATTGGCACTTTTTTTTATTTTGAAGTACGCAAACTCTCTAAGAACATTAGCTTTGAACCCACTAAATAATATTTTCTATATAACAGGCCTATGTTGTTAACATTTTATTCACTAGAAAAAGAGGGAAATAAATAGATCTACTGGAATTAAAAGAATACCTTATTTAAAACTGTGTTCATGTCATCATAAATTCCAACTTCTGCTAGCTGGCAAAGAAAACTCCTTATGTCTAGGTCAGGTTTCTGCAGTGCTTGACAGAGTTTAAGATAAGTTTTAACTTGTCTGATGCTAATAATTTTCTTCATGTTTCGAACTTGACTGCTTGAACTATTTGAAGCTAGAAGTTAATGCACACAAAAAAACTTTTGAGTTATCTAAATGAGGGCAGTATTTTAAACAATGTAAATGCTAATTTAGTAGTGTACAATTAGTTAAATTGTAATTAATGTTTATTTTTACAAATTGTCATATATAAAAAGCTAATCAAATTTAAAAGCCTAAACAGAATGTGTTCGTGCTCAGCATGATCTAGCATTCTGCCCTTCTCATTAAATCATGTAAAAAAAAAGTACATTGCTACATTCAAGGGATTCTAAAAGTTTCACTAATCATTCTTTTTTTTACATGTGACCTTTTTTTCTAAAACTGAGTCACTTAAATGTAAACAAAGAAAGCGCTGCATTTTTTGGATCATCGTTGTTGGGGTGCGGATTTGTCCACACTACTGCCAAGACACCCCAGGACATGCTGTATGAAAACATTAAGTGTAAGCTATGAAATTTTATTTTTTTTTTCCCCAGAAACCTTCCCAGGAGTTTTCTCATCAACTCCCTTAAGATTCATGGTGATCAGATGAAAGGTGTAATAATGCATAGAGGACAAAAAAAAAACACAGACAGACATGCTTTCATTTATATATATACTAGCTTGCTCACCCCCGAATGACTCCCATTTAATGCATACTCTTTCGCACTGTTTAAAATGAATGTAGGCGCCATAGCGCTCACAGGATAGCCCTGGGCGCCAAATTGCACCATCGGGGCGCCAGCAAACACACCTGATTCAATTCAGTGACCACCTATAATGCCCCATCTTATCCATAGACTAATATATTGTCTAAAACTTATACGCGCCATAGTGCTCACTAAAAAACCCGGGGCACCAAATTGCACAATTCCAGGGGCAGCCAGTGCGAAATTTAACTTTTTCTCCAACTAATCTTCTCTGGAGTATTCTAAACAACTACCAAAGTTAGTGATCAAACAAAAAGTGTAGCAATGCATAAAAGACTAACACACACACACTACATTATCTATCTAACCTAACCTAACCTAACCTAACCTAACCTTACCTGATTCTATCTATCTATCTATCTATCTATCTATCTATCTATCTATCTATCTATCTATCTATCTATCTATCTATCTATCTATCTATCTATCTATCTATCTATCTATCTATCTATCTATCTATCTATCTATCTATCTATCTATCTATCTATCTATCTATCTATCTATCTATCTATCTATCTATCTATCTATCTATCTATCTATCTATCTATCTATCTATCTATCTATCTATCTATCTATCTATCTATTAATAGATTTAATTTATATATTAATAATAAATATTAAATATTTCTTTATAAGTTATTGTTAAGCATTATATAATGATGTTGCTAAAATTATCATTTATTATATAGGCTAACGTATATAAATATATCATAAGTATATCATACCTTTAATTAATTGATGTGCACTGTTAATCAGAAACAAACTAAAAACTTTGTGAATCCCAACATTTTTTAACACTGTCAAACAATCTAAAATGTCATTGTTAGACATTCGCTGAATATCTGGATAGAATTCTAGCTCTTCACAAGGAATACCTAGGCAAGTCAAAAAGTTCTGCATATCTTCAAACAGCTCTGTTTTAACAGGTTTGCTTTTACATGGCACCCTTAGAGGATACTTGATTTTGCTGTGATTTATGCTGTGTGAAACAGACACTGTTGTTGTCATACAATTATCTGTAGCTGTTTCATTTAAGTTGCTGGTTATGTTATTGTATTCACTTTTAGAATTTTCAGAAATAAATGTGGTTTCTTCAGTACTTTTGCTATCTGAGGGGTTTTCTAAAGCTGTTAGGTCTACGTTAATAACAGAATTTAATAACACATCCTTATGGTGAGTTTTGATTGGCACAGATTTTGAAAAGACCGCAGGAGGCTGAATTAAATTTAACAATTTTATATACGATTTTTCTATAAAGTTATCTTGTTTTTTTATGTCTGGATTAATAGTCATAGAGGGGTTTTCCTTTTTGGATGAATAGTAACATACAAAAGTAGTAAATTTTCTACAAATAATAGAACAATGCCGAAAAGTTTTTGATGACAAAACAAATTTATAAGCTGGTGTTGGTGTTCCATAAAGATGGAAAAAGCTTATTTTGCTTGAAGCCAGGTCATGCTGATGACAAACTAAAGTACGATAGGCAAGTTTACTCCTTAGTGCCATGGCCAATGACATATCAATCTGAAAATAAAATTTAAAAAATTGATTTAGAAAAAACAATTAGAAATTCATAGATCTAATCTAGGTCTTATTAGAAAATTTAATTAGATCTAGATGTAGTCTGTTATGATTGTCTGAGTGGTTTAGCTACTTTTTCACTACTATGCAATATCAAACACTCTATGTAGTCATTGTGCCATTTCACATCCAGACGACCAGGTGACAATTTATAGATAATACAGACACAGGGCTTTCTTCTTCTAATTTATTCTGGTATTAGACTTGTTTATAATCTTCATCTAGATCTACCTGCTCACGAATCAATCTCCTGATTGAGTCATACCGGTCAATATAGTCCTCTCACCACGACAATCAAGATAAGACTAACTTAAACACAGAAAAGTGCACACACAAAAAAATGTGCAAAGAGAAATGTGCACACACAAAAAAAATCCAAATAAATAATTTTCGTACACAGAAAACTACACAGATCACTCACCAATGAGGATTATGGCAATGTGCGTGTGTTTATGCATACATGTTTCAGTTTGCCCATGTGCATACATAGACAGAAATATTTTATTTCAGCATCTGTATATTTTTATAGAATAATAAATGCTGCCTCATTTTCTAAAATAAATAGAATCATAAATTGCTAACATTTTCTGATTAAAGATACTTTTCCACCAAAGGTGATAAGCCCACACTTGTTGTATGACAACAGCCAGGGATTGCCCACAGGCAGTTTGTTCACATCGGGTGTTGATTACAGATTATTTGACCATTGGTGATTTGTATAACTAAGACTACACCTGCACCTACACTTACATATACCTACATTTACAGCTAAAGCAACACTTATTGCCTACTGCAGGACAGAATGACTACTGACAGCTAGTAAATATAACAAAGAACATGTTTTCGCTAGAAATCGTGATTTGTGGTGGGGAGAGGTTGGGTACAACTCTGAGATGTTATTTTAAGAGAAGTCAGGTTTTTTGTGAAAACTGAGATGGTTGTGGGAGAAAGACCAGCTGAGGAAGTTTGACGTCAATCATTGGTGATCTATTATGCCCAGCTGTTTATTTTATCTATTAGGCCTCGTAGGCTTTTACTAATATTAGTATTAGGCCTACACTTTTAAGAGCTATGAATTTTGAGGCATATTATAGTATAATTATAGCCTAATAATACTAACGAGCCGACCAGCAGCGTATCATACGCCGCTATTTAATTGTTTTTTTTTCTACTTTTCGGTAATTCATAATTTGTAAATTCGACAGTACCAATGCTGCCACTGAAAATATTTGCTTTAAAACACTAACCCCCCCCCCCCCCCCCCCCGAAAGCACTCCTCTTAGTTTAAAATCGTTTCAAACTAAATTATCTGCCGCTAATAGCCGTCACTAAACCCGACTCCACGAATGTAAACATAGCGTGAACCACAGCTCACCAGACCATGTAGGGGTGGGGTGGTAGGGAGCGCGCTTACAGCTTGTTTTCTAGCGTCTCCCAGAAGAGAATTATATATATATATAATAGTAATAGTTTACTTATTATATATATTTTCAAGAAAAATAAAGTTAAATCTAGATCTAAATAAATAGTTACATAGTACACATTAAATATTCCAAATCTTGGATCTTTCTCAAAGTTTGACAAAATTAATTTAAAAATCTAGACCAAAAATTAATTAAGAAATAGGCTGAGTGATTTCCTAACATTTTTGTGTTTCGGTCGTGTTTATAATAAAATACGCTCAACTGGAGGTGAACGTGAAGCGGGGAATAAAATATGCTAAAATGGAGCTTTACCAACTTTATATTGATTATTATTAATTAGGCCTTTTAATTTAAATGTTTTATTGATTGATATTAAAACATTAATGATATAGGACTAGGCCCTATTATTAATATTTTATGTATGTAGTGTAGGCCCTTTTAAAAGTATTGAGTAGGCCCTATTGGTATTGAGTACTAGATCTAGTACTATTGAGTATTGAGCATTGATTGACTATGACAGCCAGACTGAGAACAGGATAGACAGGCTTATTTTTTTGTATTTAGTAATCGGCCGATGCTAGCCAGAAAAAGATACGCATGCGCAATGGAGAGAAACTACACTTGCCATCATGGCGATGTTTTTGATGGTACTGCACATGAGTGTGTTTACAACCGCAGAACCCTAACACCAACCCTAATCCTATCCCTAACCCTAATCCTATCCCTAGCCTTATCCCTAACCCATGCGCAGAGCTATCTTTTGCAGACTATGTGGAGACGTTGGGGAGAAAAATCTTCTTCCGATTAGTCACTTCGTTAGTATTAGTAATATTTAGATTTAGTAGGCCTATTTAGGCTACTTTTTTTTGTAAATTATTTTATTTTTTATTTTTTATTGTAGGAATGCCAATGTAGTATGTAGTGTTTACTTACTAGATCTAGTAAGTATATTATATAATCTTTAAACTAAATTTAATAGCAACATTGGTATGCAAGTTTAAAGCCAATTAATCACAACTCTCGAGTGCATTTTTCAATAAAACATAATCAATTATTTTAGTTATTGAGTTAAACTCATAACATCAAAATGTGTATAAAAAAAGGTAAAACCTTAGTTTAGCGTTGGAAATTATCGGGTAATGTTTGTTGAGTTTCGGTAACTAGAGTTACGGTAAACCATGGTTTATTTGACCATTGAAATATAAATAAATTGAAAGTCGATTGTAGTAAATTAATGTTTTAATTTTTTAAGTTTAATCCACAAAAGGAAACAAGAATAAATATAATAGTAGATTTAAATTAGTAGATCTAAAAATAAAAAACATATTATATTAATATAAATAATAAAGTCAAATGTAATAATTTAATGTTTTTTGCTTGAAGTGGATTTGCCACCATTAATTAATTAGATCTAGATCTAGCTAGCTATCTAGCTGCTAGGCCAAGTAAAAAGAATCTAGATTACGAAAATAGTAAAAATGATTATAAAATGTAAAAATGATTACAAAAATAAATCTATCCAAATTTTAAACATTCTGTATAAAAATAAAAGATGACGCCAAATAAAGTATGGTTTACAGTACTTCCGGTGAATTCCGAAAGTGTGTGACAGACTTTGGCATTGTTTTACTGTTTTTTACTGCTATACGCTTCCGGAATAATAACCGACGCTAAACTAAGGTTTTACCTAAAAAACTAACAACAGGCCTAGATAGATTTACCTAGATTCTAGATCACATGAATACGACTGTGAATAGCCCCAATACGGCTATTCACAGTCGACTGTGAATAGATACTTCGTAGATAGATTTACCTAGATTCTAGATATATAAAATTATGGTAATCTATCGTTTTGGGTACGTAAAATCGCCTGCGGCTATTAATGTACGAAAACGTTACCTCATTGTCAAGACTTTAATAGAGGTATATTGTGATATGTTTGTGTCAAATATTATAGATAAATGGATAATAAACCTAAATCAATGGCTAAATATATCAATATAGGCCAGAAATTAACTTTAAACAGCAGTGTCTGCGAGCAAGATTTGCTATATAAACAGCAGCCATGTGTAAAAAAGAGTGGCTTCCCCCTGAATCTTATAAAAAAAACACAAGATAGCTGCTATAGTAAATGAGCATGGTTGCATCTGTTGGAAACATCGCTAGTCTTCATTTATTACTGAAAAGTTTTAATTCAATTGTTTAAAAACAGATACATAAATGAAACAAGAAAACATTTTTGTATTTTAAAAAACATAAATCCTCCTCAAAATGTGAAATAATTATTAAAATTTAAGGAGTCACCTGTTTTTCACATTACAAGTCGCGGGCGATTTTACGTACCTAAAACGATATATTACTAAAATTATAGGCCTATACTATAATTTATATAGATCTAGCTCTAGATTCTAGATAAGATTATCATTATCTCTGAGACACTCTTTCACTCTAGACAAGATGAGATGATTGATCATAATTTTTTATATAGATCTAGAATCTAGATTCTCTAGCTAGGCCTAACTAATACAAATACTTATACTACTAGTAATACTACTAAAACTAGGCTAATCTAATAGTAATTTTACTAATTACTAATGAGTCATTAGTAATTACTATTAAATTAGTTAATCTATAATACTAATATAGCCAATAGCACTAATAACGGTAATCTATCGTTTTGGGTACGTAAAATCGCCCGCGGCTATTCATGTACGAAAACGTTACCTCATTGTCAAGGCTTTAATAGACGTATATTGTCATACTTTTGTGTCAAATATTATAGATAAATGAATAATAAACCTAAATCAATGGCTAAATATATCGATATAGGCCAGAAATTAACTTTAAACAGCAGTGTCTGAGAGCAAGATTTGCTATAAAAACAGCAGCCATTGGAAAATAGAGTGACTTCCCCCTGAATCTGGCGCTAAAAGCTTATAAAAATAAAACAGACAAGATGGCTGCTATAGTAAATGAGCATGATTGCATCTGTTGGAAACATCGCTAGTCTTCATTTATTACGGAAAAGTTTTACTTCAATTGTTTAAAAACAGGTACATAAATGAATCAAGGAAACATTTTTGAATTTTTTAAAACATAAATCCTCCTCAAAATGTGAAATAATTATTAAAATTTAAGGAGTCACCTGTTTTTCACATTACAAATCGCGGGCGATTTTACGTACCCAAAAAGATAGATTACCCTAATAACTAATAGGCCCTATTAGTTATTAGTATATTACTATTACTATTACTACTTAAACTTTAAACTTATTACTAATAATTATAGGTAATATTTACTATTTACTATTTAGAAATGGGTTAGGCCGTTAGGCCTATAATTTTCCATAAATCTATGTTTTGTAATACTAATAGGTTAGTAATAGGCCTAGATCTATTACTTTTAAAATAACAGTTTGTTTTAGACTTGGTTAAATAATTTTTGTTCACTTTGGTTACAGCAGTCTTGAATTATTGAGTTAGAAACTTCGGCAATAAAAAATAGAAGAAAAATTGTTTGCAGTCGTTTCCCTTACTTACACCGCGTTTACACTTACGACATGACCTACTTATATGTATGCTAAACACGCTATTGGTATATGGAATATATTCTAAGTTGCAGGGCACAAAACTATGCTTTTTACTTTCTAGGGCTTTCGAAGATTTTTTTTTTTAAACTGAGTTTAAATTTAAATGTAAACATTGCCTGCGCTTGGATCATATTTATCGGGGCACGGGTTACCTACCGTATGAAAACCTTGAGTGTACGTTAATCATTCACCGAAATAATGCGGTAGAACACACTTCGGTGACCGCCCGTGTGTCATGGACGTAGAGGGGCGCTCTCGGGAGCCCCCGAATACACTACCACAGAGGCGCCGTAGTGCTCACAGGATAACACAGAGCGCCAAATAGCATCACGAAACAATGGTGCAGATTGCGTAATTCGCTAAAGTTACACAAATCAACAGGATTTTTTTTCTTTAACACGTAGAAAAAAAATATTTGACTTGTTACAAACATTAGTGTGACGGATGTAATAATTTGTTACTAATGGTGTATTATTAGACGCTCGATCTCAATTTCTGATTGGATCGTCTAAATAATAGATGCTAATTGCATCATTCGAAAACTGACGAAACTGTTCAGATTTCCTCACGTTACAGAGTTATTTTTAGAAGTGTTTCTCTAAATTTAGATTTGAGTTGCCCTCCGAAACGTAATTTTTTACGGAAATTTTTTCATTATTTCGAGAACTATAAGTTTTGAAATGTGTGGATTTTTTATGGACAAAAGGAAACAACCCAGTTAATAATCTAACCTTGGTTAATTTATCTGATTATTCAAAAATATGTAATTACAGGGCCCTCAGCGGCCCAATGTGAGCCTTTGGGGCCGAAACTTAAATCTCTGTTCGCAGCCAAATCGCTGACACCCCTGATTCAATTTAGTGAGCGACTGTAACGCCCCATTTTATTCAGTGTCTGACTACTGTTTAGAACGAACATATGCGCTATTGCGGCTCACGGGAGAGCACAGGGGGCCAAATCGAACCCTGCAGGGGCGCCGGGGGGAGCGCCTGGTTCGGTATAGTCAACGATTATTGTTGCTCATCATGTCTTTAGTGGGTAGCCTTTTTTTGAACGAACGTGGGCGCCATAGGGAAGCCCGGGGCGCTTCGGATCGTGCAATTTACGGAGTGTCACCCCTGCGAAATGGATTTTATTTCCCCGCAGAAACCTCCCGAGGAGTATTCTCAACAACTTCCCAAAGTTTCATTGTGATCGGATGAAAGGTGTATTAATGCGTAAAAGTCAGACAAATAAACACACACACACACACACACATTGCTTTTTATATAGATAGATAGATAGATTACATAATTGTTATTAAAACGTTTTTATGTATTTTTTTCAGTACTGTATTTATTAAGATACAATAGTTGCATGACTAAAAATCTACAGCTCACCAAATGAACATGATAATACAAGTATAATAGTGCGGGATAGGGGTCACCCATAAATGACGTCACTCTTTTTTTTTTACGATTCCCCCCCCCTCCCCTCCGTCACACACCGTCACAAAAAGCCAGACCCCCCCCTAAAATGACGTCACACCTCAGCCTACAACCCCCCCCCCCCTCAAAGTTGTAGTTGAATTTTTTTTTCACATCGATTTTTTTCCACTATTTTGTCTGAACTCTGTCAAAGTAGAGTATTTTAATCAATTCCTATTACAATTTATTAAAATAGTTTTCTAAAACGCGAAATAACGTCTAAAATTCGTTTTCTAACATTACTTTTTATAATGCAAAACTGTGACGTCGCACCATCTGAACCCCCCTCCCCCTCATCACACACCGTCAGAAAATTACGGACCCCCCCCCCCCCTCCCTCCCTACGAGTGTGATCTGGAAAGTGTGAACGGAATCGCTGCATTAGAAGTGGGTCAAAATTGAGTTAAAAGATTTACTAGATAAAAGCTGTCAAAAGGTGCGTGATGTTTGCCATGCGAGACAGAAAGATGTTCTAGGCTACCCATGGCACTGCGTTCAAAGTTTAGATATGTATACTATACATGTCTACCCGTATACCATACATGTCCAGAACACAAAGACAAAGCCCACCGAAAGTTGATTTTATTTTCTTCACAGAGCATGTATACTTTGAGGTTCACATTTACTAAGCCTTTTTTTTCATTGTTTTTGTGCCTAATGACTCAGAAGATGTCCGATATACCCGTAACAGGTTTATATGTTTTTATATTATTATTATATAGGTCAAGTCTAGTATACATATCTTAAGTATAAACGCAGAGTCAGATCTGATTTTCAGGGGAAACCACTCTAATTTTCAGATGTCCGATGTTTAGGCCTAAATCAGACTAAATCTAGACTTATATAGATCTAGATCTAGATCTAGTATATAAAATAAATGTAACCAAATCTTTCTCTCCAAAAGACCGTGAGTGCAATTTAAAGTTAATTTCTATATTGAATTATTGATAGTTGATAGTCTGTTTGTTATTTAGAAATTGAGTTTAGTTTATTATTCCATTTCGTTCGGTAAAACAACATTTTAGCGTATTTTATTCGCCGCTTCGCGTTCACCTCCAGTTGAGTGTATTTTATTATAAATTATAAACTAATGTGACAAAATGTCTAATATAATCTAATCTATCTTTATACTACTAAAACTCAAGTTTTTTTACATGTTTGAATATTTATTTGTTTTTTGTTTGTTTTTTTGTTTGTCTGATTGGCTACAGGAGAGAATCTGCACTATGTCTATGTACTAATAATAGCGTGTATTGCGGCTTCGTAATTTCTAAGGGCAACCATTTTGGAAATGGCGCTGACTTCCCCTTTCGCTTTTTGTCCCAGGCTTCCGTCACCGCCGCGCGTGAGTCTAAAAATAGACTAACGGCTTGTTCCAACCGGCATTTTGTTGACGCTCTCTTCCCTTCGGGTTTACTTGACATATTGGAAAATATTTTGGCGGACGATATTTATTAATTTAGTTTTTCTTTCTTCGGATTATTGGAGTCAAAAATAGAGGTAATTTCAGCATTTTTTTTCTATTTGAATTAGATTCTTGTTCTTGTTAAAAGTTTGGTTGTTCGACAGAGTTTTGCAAATTTTCTTTAAATTAAGTCTGACAGCTAATTTCCCACCAACAAGTCGTTTAAATGTCCCTGCAAAGTCTGAATCGATAGCTTTGTAGCCGCCATTATTTTAAAAAGATTTTTAAAATATTGTATATTTATTAAGTTTTTTAAAAATAACATTATTAAAAAAAACGGTAAAATCTTAGTTTAGCGTCGTAAATTCCAACGTAGCTAGTAATGTGCGATGAAGGTAACTAATGAATATTTCTTTCATTTGGCCATATTTATGTCCTATTTTACATAATATAACAGATAATTGAATAACAAATCACAATCCAAGACCAAACCAGTCAAAAATATCCTGGAATAAACTTTAAACTACCCCGTTCGAGACAACAATGAGTAAACACAAGCAGCGGCCATGTTTTAAAAACAATAAATTGTCTATTCGCATGTCTTTTGTGTTGATTTTGTGGTTTAATATGATTGTTTTGTATTGTTTTAATATATGCCTGGGGGTCGTCCATACATGACGTCACACTCGTAGGGGGGAGGTGGGACCCGTAATTTTGTGACGTGTGATGAGGGGGAGGGGGGTTCAGATGGTGCGACGTCACACTTTTGCATTTTAAAAAAGCAATGTTAGAAAACGAATTTTAGACGTTATTTTGCGTTTTAGAAAACTGTTTTAATACATTGTAATAACAATTTATTAAAATACTCTATTTTGACAGTTCAGACAAGATTTTGGAAAAAATATAGCTGTTTAAAAACAATTCAAATGCAATTTTGAGGGGGGTTGTAGGCTGAGGTGTGACGTTATTTTAGGGGGGGGGGGGGTCTGGCTTTTTGTGACGACGTGTGACGGAGGGGAGGGGGAGGTAAAAAGCGTAACGTCATTTATGGATGACCCCCTGTATAGTAATTTTTCTATTTTTTTTAATATAGTTGACATGAATGACTAATAGACCTTTTCAGACTTAATAGTGTGCACCCACGACCACAACAATTGTTGGGAGGTCGAACTTTTGAACACTTTATTTGCATCAAGCAAATCAATATTAGATCGCTCATAAATGACGTCGCTCTTAAGATAGTAATGACAGCGTGCATTATTACAGAGCAAACATATGAACATATTGTTTCAGATAGAAATTGTGATTTGTGGTGGGGAGAGGTTGAGTAGAACTCAGTGGATGGTTGTGGGAGAAAGACCAGCTGTAGAAGTATGACGCGTCATTCATTGGTGATCCATTTTCTCAGTGGGGACGATAGAACTATTAAGAAGGGTCAAGAAATTTAAAAAGCTTGCCGAGTCGCATTTCTTGAACCCCACCTTTTTCATTCCCCCACTTAGCACATCGTCACCGAGTTAACGCTCGCACGTGACGTCATGTACCGGTACCGCCGACCGTTAGGCTAATTTTATAGAAAAAAAAACAACAACAATTTAAGCACTGCTTTTTTGACGCTTTTGCGACGTTTAATTTGATTACAGAAGTTGGTGTTCATTAAACATCCCCTAACACATCTATCACTCGTCCATTTAAACGTACGTAGTTATTTCTGCAAGCTTGCTGTCTTGAGACTTTCGACCCTTTAAAATGTATTAAGCTCTCACCGTATAGAACTAGACTACCCATATTAAGCTCCAAAAGAAGCTTGGTGAAAACAGGATGGCCGTCCGATTTTGAAGCTGCTCTGCGCTTTATAAAAAGCACAATAAACGATAAGATGACACTTATATTAAAGTAAATTATAGTTCTGAATCTTGATACATTAAAAGTGATATTCGGAAATTAAGAGCCAGACAGTCAACATGATATTTCAATTTAAGTCCAAGAAAATAAATTTCCTCAAACGATGGAACATTACTAAATTTTCGCGCAGTTTAGCAAAATCGAATTTAAGTATTTACATCATCTTATAAAGCGCGATAGCCTACTGGTGCT